TTGCCCTTGTCATTACGGACAACGCGTATTGCGATGAATGGGCAGTGCTGGTTGCAGGTTCGGATGGCTGGATGAACTATAGACATCAAGTATGGCCGAGAATATAGTTTTGTGCGTTCGACCTACAGTCACGAGACGTAATATTGTAGGGCATTTGGTTTCTAGCTTGATTGAAGTCTGGGTCTTTGCTTACTGCTGAAAGCAAGAAGGATTGATATCCATATTGCAGGCTGTACGAGAAATAAATTTTCAGTATTTCAGATTTCAGCAATTCTGCAAATACATAGTTTGTTAAAAAAATTTCACTGTTAAACTTAAGGACATAAACCGCGCATTATATACTTGGTGACCAGATATTGATAAGAGAGTCGTTCTCATCCGGCTTACAGAAAAACGTTCGTTGAAACAAAAGATATTTTAAATACCAACGACAATATGACCTGCCACATCAGTTCAGCAATTCGGAACTGGTCGTAAGAAGATGGTTAGTGATGCATATCAATTGACTCATCTTTATATCTTGATTAGCATTCATGCGTACAATAATTCGTGATTAGGTATAGATAAGCTCTAAACCACACTACTGTACCTTCATGCATCACACAACGTCATTAGGAAATTAACATCTTGCTTACATTCTACCATTTTATGCGTATGCATTTGGGAGTAATTTTTACTGATGGACGCTGAGGCGATCAGTTTGAGGCATGCTTTTAATGTGAGAGGTCTGCTCAAGTAGTCTAACAATTTTTCACGGCACTTACACGGGTCAGAACTTCCCGCCACTTCATGAAAATAGACTTTTACAATGCTTATCACGAGTATCATCAACTGCGTTCAGGTATTTAAATGCTTTGGCTAGAACGAAGCTGCATGAAGACCCATAACCCTGGCGTTTCTGAAATTTCTCAATGTGACAAAGTTCCCTGATGCTTTTGTCTCAATTAATTACGACGGTTTGATTGCTTACGAGTTACATTATGTTGGTCCTAAACGGTTCAGATACAATTCTCTCCCCACGTGCGATACGTACGTTGTCGTCATTGGTCAATTCTCCTTTTGGTCTACTGTAAAATGGGATTCTTCAGCGATTCCATTTAAGTGGTGAAATTTTATATATTCATATTTCAGGTTCTATTCAGGTGTGGGTGGAAAACATTTCATTTCAAATTTTACCATTTGCCCAACTGCATGCATTGTGACTGCAGTTTACCATAATTCAGGCAGCCATCATTTATTAGAAAAATAACAAGACCTGACTACTAAAGGTTGTAGTTGGAAATTAGAAGTTACTTTATACATTGATTAGAGAAACTGAAGTAGTGATAAAAAAAAGAGCGTCCGATTTCGCCTTCTAAGAACTGCATCAACGCTTGATTTATCACGTCCACCGTAAAGTTCAGTGATAAATTTTGAGATGTGTTATTAGCAAAATCGCAATGTTATGCAAAAGCGTTACGTCCTAAATTTCGTCAAAACCTTATTTTAGGCGGATATATGCCATGCTTATCAAATTCTTCGTCGTGGGATACCAGAGGATCATATAATCACGATGATGGTCGATGACATCGCCTACAATAAACGGTATTTCAGTGATGCAATTTATGCTTGCTCTGCAAATATGTTAACTTGCGCATGACACCTGTGACTAAAACTGTACACAGTTTAACTCTTCGGTGGTTGAATAAAGACAGTCACAGGAGCGGCTTCAAAGTTTAAAGATTCTCTGCACAACTAGTTACCCGGTGCAGAGAGCGAAACCACGTCACTCAACTTGAAATCAAGCTGACCTTTGACAAAGCTAATAACTTCGAAATGGTGGAGATTTGAGCCCCAACCCAATGCTCAATTATTCAACCCTTTGATGTAAACGTACGCACGCGCAGCTTCATACTTTTCTCTCTAAGAGAACTAGAGTGACAAAGAAACCGAAACGCTTTATTCAGGCTGGTTGTAATCCGTTGCGTTCGTAGTCGAGATGCCACTTCTATGATTTGGACTGATCAAGAATTCTACGCTGAGGCAAAGCTGAGGAAAGAATTGTTTGTAACTCAGGAATCTCAACTCCAGTACACCGAAACGACGTGTATCATGTGCGGCGTCCTTTTACATCGTGCTGAATGAACAGCATCAATTTTCATGTCGATGCCACCAGCTGAACTGTCGCATTAGCAAACGATTATCAAATTCGTATTTACTGGCATTGTTTCTTCGCAATGCTCTCCGAGTTTATTTATCCACCTTAAAGAATCAGGTACGACCGGACCTCCGGTCCAACCTCAAAGTTTGCGGTGGCGTGTAGAGCTTCAGCGTTGCAGCTACTACTTCAGCTACAGTCACTTGTATAGGTACGCAAATTATGATGACCGTTCTGCTTAAACAATTGCATATCTGTGACGATTTGTCATGAGCGACGAGCAGTTCGAAACTAGAGTGGTACAAGCAGCTGACAATTTCGCCCTGATTGTATTTTCAAATTGCATAAGTGACTTTTCGTATGTTTCGTGTAAAAGGCTTTGCTATTGCTGTGTCGATCTGAAAAGAATGATTTAGAATGACAGCCTATTTCCGCTTAGAAATGTTTCCTCATTCCGTAATTCATGTACAAATTATGCATCGTTGGGCCATTCAGAGTTATTCTTGAAACGTCTGCCTTAATTGTTTCATGGTCGACTAAACGTCTAGCGTTGAATTAGCGATGAACGGCAAATTTCGACATTTGTCCTAATGAAATGACACATGTATCTCATCTTAGTAAATTGGCCAAGCGTACTCCATGCACAGTGCATGAATTATGGCCTTTCCTGGCTACCTTCTCATAATGGGATTCAGAGACAAGCCCATATATCTTGAACCTGAAAAACATTAACGATGTAGAGACTTATAAAGAGTCTTCTCTTATGCCCCAAAATTAAAAAACACAATATATGTAAGCGAGGTTTCCAGATCCGTTTCAGAGGTTTTGCGATCTGATGGAGCGCTAGCTGTTCTGTATGTATGAGTGATAATGACATTGAGTCACAGGAGCGTTAACACTTGCAGCAAGTGCATTCGAAAGTTGAAGGAATTGAAACAGACGAGTCTGTTGGAACGATTTGAAACTAATTGCTCGTTTTGGTTTAGCAATCCGCTACCCGGGGTCATATGGAATTCACCGAATGGCCCAAATGTCTATAAAGGTGTGAAAATCGACTATCGTGGAGAAGTAGGAAAGTCGACTGTCAACAAATAAACTGTACTAAATCTGGTATTAGGATGTTACACCACAAAACTTCATGAACGTCTTGCTCGGGAGAAAGAAGGAAATGGCCGGCATTGGAACAGGAAGAGTGCTAGACAGGTAAATATAATGGCGTACGGTGACCAGTAGCCACTATTTGTTCACGCAGTGGACATTTTGACAATGTTTTCATCAATTTCGTCGATCACGGAGACAGCGGAATCATCTCGTTCCCAAACGGAGTGGTATGACAAACGGACAATGTATAAAATGTATTCGTAAATAATGCTTTTTCAGCTGACAGCAAAAGAGCTTAACGAAACTTTCATTCAAATGCACAAAGAAAATCGTTATAATATGGTAAGAAAAACTATTTATTCAAACGAACGGCGAATGGGTCTAAAAATGTTAACCTCTCCTACAGTCGTCACTTAGGTTCAGTGGATTAATTGTGAGATTCTTTGAACAGTCGAAGAACTTTCTTCAGTTGCTCAAGATTGTCGAACACATGTGAGCTGTCAAAAGTGGAACAACGAGAAAACTCCTGTCAGGAATGCGCATCCTTTCTTCGCATCCAGAGGATATCTACTATTCTGGCCTCAAAGAGTAGCGTTTGCAAAGATAGTCACCCAGCTAAGCAGACCAGTGAAAGTTCTGCGATAGCATCTGCCAAACTATTGGGGATAACAGGCAAGTTGCGGAATTAGCAGTGGCACTAATATACCTCATTCACGAGATTTGTTGATAAGGAAACGAAAACTATATCCTCCTCGGTTTATGGTTACAAGCCTAAAACTGCTGTCTTGCCATTCTTATGGAAAACGAAAGACTAATCTGAGAATGAATTATGAAGATGTTTCTTATAATAAAGCTGAGACCAAAATAATGGTTAGCCAATCTGTTTGATACGTGAGCCTCGATTTCTAAGTCTTCGCGTCTATGGCCATCATCTTTGCTTTAAAGAGAATGAATTCCTTCCTTGTGTGATTTGCGTTATTAAGAGTCAGAGTTAATGCTGCAATGTCAGAGCCACAGTCCATATCACGGACCTTCTTCATTTTGAGCTCGCGCAACTTGTATTTCTTGCTTTCTGGGGTCTGCTACAACCATAAACGTTGGCAGAAGATTTACTGTTGGAAGTGGACATCGTGGAGGAGACCTGTACAGCAGTTGCTGGAAATGCTTTGCTCGCCTTCTGAAGCATTCTTTCTGACTTACCGATGGGAAACCCTTTGCTTATTGATAATAACCATCTGAGTTCCTACTTACCGGTCAGCTGTAATACGTTTGAATACTTTTGCCATCCTTTCTTACCGTCTTACCTATCTTCCTGATTTATGTACACCGAAGTTCGTTGTCGAGGGGCTGCTTTCGAGGATACAGTAGACATTGCAAGTGCTCCTTCTTTGCACTTTAAGATATATGGTGGGGTCCGTAATACAGGTGTCCTTCTTCTGAACCCAATTACGTTTTATGCGAACAGTTGGCGCCTTCTTTGAAGTCTTCGTTGAATTCATCGACTTTGGAACTTTTTTACTGGGCGCTAGCTGTGAGGTCAGGAGGAAGTTGGTTGGGTAGGGAGTAGGCACTAAAATGCCATTCTACATCCTTCCAGTAGACCTAAGGCGCCCATTCAGAGTATTTTAGCCTGCCATTATCTAGAAATTATGTGCTTCGATCAGTCGACATTGAGCGATACAGTCAATTTTAATTGAAGTGAGGCGACATAAAATCAATTGGTCTATCAACGAGAATGTTTATTATATGAGGAAAAGAAAGATAGACAGAGGATGCACTGTGAAAAGTAAACTGAAACTTCTCCAGTATCATAAATAAAAAATTACCTTCCACACTAATGAAGTGAAACCTAATTACGAAGTTTGCGTAAGGGCGAGTATCCAATAAACAATAAGATCTACGGGGTGGACTAATGACTTAGTGAAAACTTAAAACGCAGAGCGAAAGGGTTTTAAAAGAGATGTCCATTTTCATCTTCTTCATCTTCCATGACCGCTTCTCCTTTCGGGTCGCGGAGGTAGACGCGTCAGATAAATCTTCCAACGTTCCTGATCCTATGCCAGAGTCTGAGCTTCGGCAAAAGACAAATGTAGTCTGGAACAGATTCCTTCCATATATTTGCACCACGTTAATCTTAGCCGTCCCCTGGGCCTTTTGCGGGTCAGATTTGCAAGGAACAGTTGCTTAGCCTTCCTTTCTGGAGGCATTCGCAACACATGCCCTAGCCATCGCAG